TCGCAATATCTCGCATTTGCATTATGTGCTCACGCACACCCTTTATGTTGGTGAGTCTAAAGGATGAGAATTTCATTATTAGGGTACTTGCTAGTGCCTTATCCGAAGTGACGAATTATTGATCGATAGCTTTTAGCAAGTCTCGGATATTTTCGTGCTGGTCAACAGAACCACGTATGCCAGCAATTATTTTAGTTTTGATAAACATCACGTTGAGCTGATTGGATCGCTCCCATCGCTCATATAACGTGATCTCAGTTGGAGTACTGGTATTAGTGAATATAGGTGGTTCATCTTTCCTAATAGCATAATCAATATACATCCACCCTAAATTGAGGAGAACCCTCTCCTTCCATATCTTATAGTTATCACCACTAAATTCGAAAATATCACATTGAATATTAGAGAAATTAACAGTCTGAGAAACTACATAAAATCAAACATGCTTATGTCAAAATTTGAAGCTTAATAGTCTAAATTACATGTTTTACTAATGTGAAATATGCCAAAAAATATGAATCTCGTGACATAAAAATTGCTTGTGGGCTAAATTCTTAATTCAAATAGATTCAAATGGTCTTTATGGTAAAACTATCAAATTATATTCTAATTCATAATCCCTATGGGTAAATTATGAAAATAATCTGATATTTTATTTTGATTAATTATATTAAATATAATAAAAGATCCTATGGGATAATAATTATTATATAAAATATAATCAATCATAATATGATATCTAATTACTTATGTGATCCTTATTTTAACTTTATATATAATTTTAATTAATTAAGGATATTGTGGCTAATTCTTAATTAATTAAGATTATATAGATCACTAGACATTTTAAATATAAAAAAATTGACTCATAAGCATAATTTTATATAACTAAATATGCATACTTAATATGAGCATTTTACCAACTAAAAATGTTGAAAATGATATTTCCTCATGATTTTCAACAAAATATATCAAGAAGTTTCCAAGAAAAAACCAAAATCAAAACATTTTCATGGTATAAAAATAAAACTCTTTCGTATCGAGGCAAATGTCAATAAGCTCTGATACTAAATATAAAAAATCTTTGATACCAAAATATATTTCTAAATCAATATAATAGAAACACAATAAAAACTGATGCGGAAATAAAATAGCGTACCACCAGCCATTGTTGTCAAAAATTTCTATAGAGGTTTCTTCTTGAACTTTAGCACTTCTCAGCTCAGAACTCTCGCTTTAGATGGTGTAGGAAATCCTTTTTGATTCAAAGAGATGTTGAGCCCAGGGATCAAAATCCTCGTTTATATAGATGTTCTCCCATCAAGAACATTTATTATCATCAACTCATAATGTTCAAGAATTAATTCAAATTTATAACGTTTAGAGCATAATTAAGAATTTTAATGATATTAAATATTTAATTTAATAATAACGATTTCATGTATAATGAATAAAAAATTAAAATCATTTAAACCATAATAAATGAAGAAATTCATGATAATGAATTATGAATCTTAATGAGAACAGTTATATTATTATTAAATAAGATATTTAATAATAACGGTTACAAACCTTTGCTAGAAATGGTAAAGGGAGTTATGCTTAGAGCCTGTGATGCTCTACCAGCCCCCTATGACTTCACTCAAACATTTTGGAGCTCCCAAATGTGGGAGACTTATGTTTAGTGGTCATTTAGAAATGGATGAACCATATTATATTATGATCCCACTTCACCTTCTATGTGTTTGACATGATATCCAAGGCTTTGGCTGTGTTTCTATGCATGCTTTGAATAATAATGAAATGAATGCAACGTCATGTGACATTTGAGCTTCTATTCATGTTTTGTTCTTTGATATATTTCCAAAATATTTATATGTCTTTGTTATGCCTTGAAATATACCATATACTATGGATATGCTCCAGTTACCTTTCCTCGATTATATAAACAAAACATGCTTCGAACGAAACAATATCGTAATTCTACATTCAAATAAAACATGCCTCTGTTTTCATCTTATATCTCTGCTTTGTATTTTTGATACCTTATTTGTTTGAAAACTGTCCTCTTTGCTATGGATATGTTAGTCACTTGCTGAGCTTTATATGCTCACCCCATTACTATATAAAATTTTTAGGATAGCTTATCGTTCGTTTAAATGTGTAAATTGGGTTGAGACAATGGAAAGCTAGAAGATTTTGGGGCAAATATTTCGTACCTGATAGGTTGATGTTGTATATGTTCCTTTTGTGTGTAATGAAATATCAATGACAAATCTAGATCGATGTATCTTGTAAATATTTGGAAAGTACCTCTCATGTCGGGATTTTGGGAATGTTAAGTTTAAGATGTGTAATAATATAAACTTGTGGTATATGTTGGTTCTGTGATTGTATAGATTGCCACACTTTTGGATTTATGATATGGTTATAGTTTAGTTAAGTTGGCTTTGGATTTTATGAATCATTAAGTGATACGATGGTATGATTATAAGCTGCACAGGTTTTATGAATTGTAGATTATATAAGTGAATTTTGACTTGAGTGTTTTCTTAATGGCCTCAAATGTGTGATTAGATCCTGGATTGTTTGTTGAATTATAATATTATCAATTTTGAGTTAGGTTCACACCTCGAAGTTTTAGAGGGCGTGACACACTCTCTCTTAGAGATGTTTTTTTGGGGCTCACCCCGAAGAGGCAAGATCGTATGGGCTCATATAAAAAAGATAATTTCTCATAAACCTACGTGCTCGTGTCAACGATGACAAAATATTGACTTATTACTCTCATTTTTTATTTAACTTATCAAAAGGGAATAATTATTTGTAAGCTTTTGTGTTTACACCAATAATAATAAAATATTGACTTATTATAAAAGTGCTATTAGATAGGTCATGAGCCATCAATTCTCCTATTGGGGGCACTGCTAATGACATTTAGTTTCACACTAGTAAAGGAGCAAGAGAATCAATAGCTTATAAACTTCTAATATCTATTTTATATTTTACTTACTTTTTAAGGTATTTTAAGATTTACTTACAAGAGATAAAATTATGCGGACTCATCGAGGATAATTCCTCACAAGCTTTCATCATCAATAATAATAAAATATTAACTTATCATTGTTGTACTTGGATTTATATTTTACTTACTCTTATATGAAAAACAATCTTCACCGAGGAAGATTGGTCTGAATTGAAGGTGATGGGATGGTTTAGGGTTCTTAAATTATTTTTACAAAATTAATTTGGAACAATAGATGGCTGATCCCTATATTTTTTAATAGAAACTTACACTCTCAATCCAACACCTATCTTTGTTTATAAACTTTTTTGAGACTCTACCTCTCACATCTTCTTCGAATGCATCTTTATTTATAATTATTGACAACTAATCAGCTCAGCAATTAAGTGTATTATCATCTCTCATTAGCCCCATGGCTATTAGTTATTCGAGGGACAAGATTTACACAAGGAAAATACAAAAAAAAATAAAAATTAAGGAGTCAAATTGGTATTTTTTCTCTTATTTCTATGGTTCAATAATAATGATAGCATATTTCATAATTCTCATTGTTGATCCTACTCTTCTTCTTTTACGATGTAAAATGACTGTGATGATATATACTGACTAAACTCAACATGAGAATTGTAGGACTTTTGATACTACTAATCTGTGTTCTTTTGAATATATCCTTAAATTATGAGGTTATTTTCATCCAGATTCTTTGAGTGCAGGGATAGGATAAATCACCAAAGATAATAAAACGGATGTTTTATAGCAATCTTCTCAAGGCAAATAGAGTGGCAGTGCAATGTTGGAAGCTTTGAAAAGAGCCAAACAAGATGGCTTGCTGCAGGCCTTGAGGGTTAAATCTGATGCTTTGAAGGTTCTCGATTGGCTATATATATATGGAACACGTGGTGTCCTTTTGGAGTCAAAGATCAAGTGTGAAACATCTCTCTTTCATCAATAGAAATGCACACACCATGGCATATTCTCTTGCCAAGTATGTTAAAGAGTAAACAACTCCCCCCTCATGTGTGTATGGGGAAGGAACGTTGCTCACCTTCTTCCTGACGATATTCTCCGATTTAGACATGTCGTGTTACTTTGTGCTTGTTAAAGTCTACAAATGTGGATTGGATGGATGATGTAAATATAATATAATTTTTATTATAGCACTTAGCTTAGACTTTGAGATGCTAAAATTCATGTACTGGTAAGTTATGATGCAATAATCATAGAATCTATATAAGCTTCTCTTATATAAATATGCATATATGCCTTCTCTAAAATCATAACTGGTAAGTTATGGTGTATGTCGATTAATTTAACCTCGAACCGGGCAGCAGAGCTCACTTGGGCCGGGACAGCGATAGCCAGGCCAGGCCAGGCCAGGCCAGGAAACACGATAGCCTCTCTGAAAGAATCCCACACGTGTCGACCGGTCCCGGCCAGGGGCCGGTGCGCCTGGTGGAGTGAAGGTAGCCGATCCTTAGATGACGTCAGGAATGACGTGTCGCGCGATCTCGTGGAGCACCACCAGATTGACCCTGGAGGCTGGAGCTCGTCGCCCGATTACTTTCGCTAATTTACTCATTGTCTTACCCGTCTTACGATTCGGGTGGAGCTTCCCGGTGGGGCCATGGTAGCAGGTAGTCGAGACGGGTACCGGATCGAGCGGGAAGATGAAAGGTAAGCCTGGTCGGGACAGGTTACGTCGCACCGAGTAACCGAGGAATCGGAATTCTGTTCGCCACCCCGAACCGAGACTACCGTTAATATTACTTATTTTTTTTTGTTTTATTTATTTATTTATATCTTTATGAACTCGATCCAACCACGCGACGCACCTGACTGATTTCGACTCTCTCTCTCTCTCTCTCGCGCACTCTCTCGTCTTCGCCTCCCTCTCTCTCGATCGCTTCCCGGACATGAAGTGCCGCGCCGTGGTTAAACCCTGGCATGTAGGTAAGAATCGTGAACTGCTCACTGTTAGGGATTGGAGTTCGAATCTGTGTGGCGTCCGTTGGCCTCTTCTCGCTTCTTGACGATTGGACTGCTCGATCGGGTTCCTTTTTGGCTGCTGATGGATTGGAATTAACGCCTTGATTTGTTTTGGTTTGCCTGGTGATATTTGTTCTTGTGTTCTGTGGAATTCTCGAGGTTTGTCGATGATAGGTAGGGTTTCTGGCATCGTGGGATTCGGTGGTCGTTTGGGGTTGGAAAGGGGAGGATTATTTTGGTGATGTTGTGCGGTCACCGTTTGTGTGTGTTTTGCGCTGTTTGCGTTGGTGTTTATTGCACCTTCTCTAGCTTTCTCCTTCGGTCTCGATATCCATGTCCTTTTTTTGCTCTTATAAATGAAGGGCCTTTTTTATTCTCTTACAAATGAATGACACCGATCGATTGCCTTAGATAAAAGCATGGTCTCGAGAATTGGCCTGACAATTGTAGATACTGAATTATTTTTATTTAAAAGTGAAATCATATCCCATTCCATCTATGCTTCTGTGATGAGATACAGAAATGCATTTGAGTTAAAATGAGAGAAATAGTTGTCTTCATGAAAGGATTAATTAGATTGTGCTTTTTTTTTGGGTGATTTTCCAAGAGCAACGGTTGATTGCATGGACATAAATGTAGTTTTTTTTATCTTTACTTGATGCTGCAAGAACTTTAGCTTTAGATTACATGGACGATACAACATGGATATTTGCCTTTTGGATTTGTAACCGAAGAGGGAAAGGTAACAGCTCAAGACTTTGGCACTCCTTGCCCGGAATGTCCAGCCCATTCATTTATCCCAAATATTCTCTATTTTCTTCTTCTTCGGGACATTTACTCCTATTCATCAACAGCAGCTAAATGTTAGGGCACACTACCATGTTTAGTGACTAATGAATTATTCATTTAATGATCAATAACAGCCTATGCATGAGGATCTTTCTTTCTGCAGATCTGAGAGGGTTTACATAATATGCAGCCATACCCCTTCATGCATTGTCGCAGCTTCTGCCGTTCAAGCCTATGACCTCTGTGGTATAGAAGCACAACCCATCAAATCATTTAAAAGTTAATAACTTCTAGGTGGAAGTTTGTGATACGTTTTGTGAGGGATTCTACTGCTGACCCATGCCCAATGAATTCTTTTCAGTTAGCATCTTTGGCGGGTATGATAAAGTATGGTGTTAGATACAATTAGGATATTAACAAAACACTTTAATAATATCAGGATATCATTTTTCTTTTTTCCATTAAATAATGTTATGTAGGAGCAGCTATAGAGGCTGACAACCACCGATAGGTAATTAGGATTCATGATCCTTTTCATTTCATTTTTGTGGTCTTTAGAAGAGGCACTGAATTATAGGTAAAGCAACAAAGTGTGTTAAAGTTGTCAATGTCCACTGTGGACAACTAATCTCATAGCAGTTAGAATCAATGCTTTGACTGGCTGGCTTTTTTTTCCATTGGTTGTTGTTCATCTCTATTATTTATTTGCAACTTACAAAGAAAGGCTCAATGCATAAGGTTTCTGCAGTTGCAGGGACTGCGGATTAGTTTTTTATATCTGCAGATTCCTTTTTTTTTTTGACAGAGATCAGTGAAGTAAATTGCTTGCCCAATATAAGCAATCTAGACACCGTATTTTATCTTCTGATGAACTGAAACTTTTTTTAATTCCTTTTATATTGATGAACAGGGCTATGAAGTTTTGTACATCTTGAACAAGGTGATTTCAAATCATTGATTGATAATTTTTACCAGTTGAAGAATTGGTTGGTCGGTCTTTTGGTTACTTAACCCTTCTTGCAGTATGCCTGCAATCAGAAGGTTATATGATGTCTGTAAAATATCATTCTCTGATAATGGACCTCTATCTGCTGAAGCCCTTGAACATGTTCGGTCTGTTTTAGGTGAGTTCACTAACTTTTTTTTACTTACATCTTTGTTTGCATTTGTTAGTACAGAACTGTAATTACTATTTACTCTAATTGTCTAGTTGTTTCTAATAGTATGTACTGCAACAATATCATTTAATTTTATGAAACATCTTGATATATAAATTATAACCTTTTGTAGAAAGTGTGTATTTATTAAACTTATTAATTGCCTTTTCAGTGTTATATAATGTCATTCCTTTCTGAGATGTGTTGTTTAGGTGTGTTTTTATCACTCATGTTCAAGTCTCGTGTTTATGCATATGTCCGCGATTACCGTATATTAGTTTGATTCTTTACGAAAAAATGATGTGAAACTTATATTGCATTAGTTTAACACACAATTTCAGTGTACAGGCTAGCTGTAGATCAAACAGCTATGCTTTCCACAGTAAACAGAGGTATTGAATGTAGCATGATACTGCTTGCTTTCATCACGTCCATTTTTTATGGCCTTAGATCTCTTGTTATATCCAAAATTTAGGATTATGGAATATGTTCATCAAAGCCTAGCCTTCCACAATATGTTAATGACAGGAAAATAGTAAGTTCAGAAGTATAGTCTCCTTTGAAGGCCTTGGAATTGTCAATCGTGAATAAATACTGTACTTGAGTAATAGTTCTGTCATGTTCTTGTTTGTCCTTGTAACAGTAATTGGAAGAATTTTGGTATTCGGTGCTCACAGAGCTCATGGATCTGAGAGACATGCTTGCTTTTGTATATGCTTTTGTTTGTTTGTTAGGTTAGTTTAGTTTAGTATGACCAACTTTGTTCATTTGTATGGGCATTTGTTTAAAGCTGCTCCATTTTGTAGCTTATTTAAATGCAAGACACTTCCGTCTTCAGTTTAAGGTCCCCTCCCAACGCTCGCAATTTCACCTTTTTCAGATGATATCAAACCTTCTGATGTGGGACTTGAAGATGAGGCTCGGATAGCACGAGGGTGGAATGTTTCCACGCATGGTTCAAATGGAAGAAAAGGGCGTAATGGAAATAATCAGTACCTGCCTCCTATCAAGTATCTGCATATACATGAGTGTGAAAGCTTTTCTGTAAGCATTTGATTCTTTGCAGGAGTAGGTTTTATATAATGTTGTTTTTGTCATGATTTGCTGCAACATTTGATCTTGTTCTAAGTATTTTTGTTTCATTGGCCTGAACAAAGTGAAGTTAAGATTATCTTTTGAAGAATGACATTACAATAAAAACCTTAAGTGATTATGCCTTGGATGCTTTCTGATTACGATGCAGATTGGGATATTTTGCATGCCACCTTCATCTGTTATTCCACTTCATAACCATCCAGGAATGACTGTTCTTAGCAAACTTCTATATGGGACAATGCTTGTCAAATCATATGACTGGGTAGATACAGTAGAACCCATTGATCCATCCAAAGGTATGTGAGCCTTTTCTCTATACTTCATTTAGCATTTCAATAAGTCAATTACAATGCCATTGGTTAACAGTGCTCATTTCACCGAATGTAGATTCATCTTATTGGGAGATGCTTTGCAATTGATGTAATTGTTTGCCTTTTCTTCACACACAAAACATCTATTTGTATCCTATGTTTTTTGGTACAAGAAGTCAAGAAAATCTAAAATTTTCGATAAGCAGCAGGATTGACATATGCAGGTTAAGGTTACTTAACGATCATAATAAAGTGATGTTGGGCTTTATGTATCATCAGCTTTAATAACATGACAATGTTTCAAACATCTATAAGGAATGAAACTCTATAGTCAATATTGCAATCAAATTTGCAAGCAACACTGAATAGAGATGGTAACACCCCACTGGTTGCACATTGCATTACATGATAGTAGACAAGTTTGATAACCACAGATGATAAGCCTAAGATTTATGATAAGGAGATACGAGACACATCAAAAAGGTGTCATATATAAGATGTATTATCATACTACAATGCTTGTAACATGCAGCTTCTCTTGCAGTTATTGGTGAAACATTGAAAAGGAATAATTCTGAAGGTGTAGTTTCATCAGAACTTTGGATCTTTATCAGCACATTAGGCACTTGATGGTTATTTGATGGATGAATCATAGAGCTGCACTGTTGTCAAGGATTAGATAAAAGAACATTTGTACTTGACTAACTAGAAATAAGAAAGACATTTGATTCTAGCTTCTTTATTAACAATGTGGAGCTCAGGAACGATTTAACGTTTCAAATAGTTGATTATCTGTCATTGTCAAAGATTAGGTTAACTTTATTGGAGATAAAGCTAGAGAAGTAAATTGCTCAAAATCATATTTCTCTGTGTTATATTCTTTCCTATGGTGTGGAAGTGCTGGGGATGACCTTCAAATCATGACTTCCCACCTTCATTAAGTATATAAGTGTTTTGTCAATTTGTGATTTTGATGGAAGCAAGGTTGTCAAAAACTGCTTTCCTACCTAGGATAGTAAAGGGGTTGCAAACTCGAATCATAGGATCGAACCAGATCGTAAGATCCTATAAGTCATAAAAAATAATTTAAAGATACATATTTAAAGAAATTTACAAATAATATTTTTGTTAAGATTTAGTAATTCTCATATATTCTTAATCTAATAATTTATTTTTATTTAAGTTAATACATAATCTTTTATTTTGACGGATAATAGTTTTATTGCATGTACTTGCACTTAATTAGCTATGGTGGCTTTACATTGGCTACGACAAATCTACAGTGAACTTAATGTTAAATAGTTCAAGGTTACATGTTTATCTAGCAAACAACTGTACTTAATTTTTATCCATCAAAGAAAAAGAGGAGAGGGTAGAGAGGAGAGATGAGAGAAGTCGGGGGAGGCGAGGAGAGAAAGAAGGGATGAAAGAAGAATAGAGAGGAGGAGAAGAGAAGGGAGAAGAGGAGACAGGAAGAGAGGGTAGGAGAGGAGAAGATAGAAGAAGAGGGGAGGAGGAAATAGGAGATGAAAGGGGAAGAGAAGCTAGGAGAGGGGAAGAGAGGAGAAGAGATGGGAGAAGAGGGGAGGAGAAGAAAGGAGATGAGACGGGAAGAGATGGTAGGAGAGGGCAAGACGAGAAAAGATGGGAGGAGAACAAAGGAGAGGAGATGAGAAGAGAGGGGTGGCGAGGGGAGGAGAAATAATACTTGTGCACGAAAAGGAAGTGGTGATCATCGAGATGGGAGAAGAAGAAAGGAGAGGAGAAACAATACTTGTGGGTGAAGAGGAAGTAGTGATCATTCTTGTCACTCCTATGCTTAGTAGTATGGACATGTGCTTTTGGTGTCCAAAAGTGTCGGACACATGTGACAGACACTCCCATGCAACATTGTGTGGCCCTCATGTGAGGGCCATATGATTCAATTTGGAGTTTGTCACAAGGAAACATATATCAATTATATAAATATTATTTGATGTACTGAACCTTTCTTTTGGATACTTAAATTTAGATGATTTTAATTGTTTCAACTTGTATGATGATATTTATTTGTTCACATCGCTGAATTTATAAAATTTAACTATAAGTACTATAAACTTCATGTTAATTGAATATTATATATACATATATATTAAAAAATACATGTGTCCTTTTTGTATTTGTGTCCTAATTTTTTTTAAAAATGGTGTGTTCTCTTGTCTGTGTCCCACGTCCATGCTTCTTAGCTCCTATGCTGCAAGGATGATAAACCAAGAATGGCCGGCAAGGCAAAACCCTCTCGACAATAGTGGTTTAGTATTGTAGTTTAGGACTCTGTCTCGGCCAAGAATTGCTGCCACTTCAAAGTGAGTTCTTTTCTTTTCCCATTTATATAAAGCCAACTGAGTTGACCCAGTAAAGTAAGTCAACTAGTCCAAGTCAATCTATCTTACTGAGTCAACGCGTGTGTCAATCTGATTCTAGCCTGTTTACGATTCAATGACTGGTCCGACTTGCCACGCTTGATTTGGATTTGCAATCCTATGACCCAGATCATGAGTTTAACAACCTTCAATGGAAGTCATATTAATTCATATTTCTGATAAAGTTTATACAAGAGACATCTAGTACAATGACGCCTACGCATGATACTTTATAAATAACCAAGAATCTCCGACCAAAGTAATTAAACAGTATTTTTTAAGAAGATAAAAGAATATCAGATATCATTTACTCCTGTGATCTATATTGTCTGCAAAGAGCAATTTGCACCGATCAGAATGTGGATAATTGTGTGAACATCTCTTTAGTACCATAATAGATGTGCACATGATAAGGTTGACCATGCCAACGGAGTTTGTGAGGGGATATTAACAGAGACCATCAATAACAGTCATGGAATTATTATTGGACCCTAGAAACCTCAATCACATCTTATTTTTTGTCGAGAGGTGGGGGGAAGAAGATGGAGGAAGTTTAGATGGGAATCCTTTCGACTAACGTAAAGGATGCGTAGGAAATATCTTGTGTGCTGATGATCATATAACGTACAAATTTTAGCTGCTCTTTTGTAATGAGTTTTTGGATATATGGAGATCCCTTGAGAGTAATTATGTGGAGAAGTCTTTAAGAAACTTTCAGAATTTCTTGAGGGTAATTATGTGGAGAAGACTTTAAGAAACTTTCAGAATTTCTTGGAATAAAGTAAGATTACTCCTTTATGACTCGGAAGATTAGGATTGAATTATAGAACAATCCCTTTAAATATAAAGATAAAACTACATATATTGATCCTTTCTAAACCCCACATTGGTGAATCTCTAGATTTACCTTTTTTCTTTAAAAAAATTCGAACTAGTACCTTTATGAGTCTTTGTTGGATGCCATTATCTTTGTTTATTATATCATCACAAATTCCTTAACAAAGTTGTTGACTACTTGACAAATATTGTGAGAATCATTTATAATTTATTTATTCAATCAATCTATAGACTCTAGATAATGAATAGTTTTTTTTTTTCGGTATTTTTATGATATTGGTGACTGAGATTGCGTTGTTGTAAAAGTAGGATTGTAGCGCCATCGATTTCAGATGACAATTGCATCCTTATAGACTTAATCATGATAATGATTTGCAGCTCGACCAGCAAGGCTTGTTAGAGATGCTCAAATGTCAGCCCCCTGTGGGACGACGATCCTTCATCCAACGAGTGGCGGAAACATTCATTCATTCAAAGCAATTACTCCTTGTGCTCTCTTCGATGTTCTATCACCCCCATACTCGTCAAAAGATGGACGGGACTGCTCCTACTTCAAGATGTCTTCAAAAAAAGATCTTTCCGGTATAATCTCATATATCTAAAATATGCTCTCTCTCTCTCTCTCTCTCTCTCTCTCTCTTGTTTTTTGCTTGTCAGTATCATAATATGCCAATAAATGATTTTATTTGAATTCATTGAAGGTGTTTTGCCTAGCGCAATAAGGTCTTCAGAAGTGGCTTGGTTGGAAGAGTGCCAACCACCGGAGAGCTTTATCATCAGAAGAGGGCCATACAGGGGCCAGATTGTTGATACTAGATGAATTAAATTTATAGCTCTTTTAATGATGCTGGAGATCTCTCTCTCTCTC